ACTCACTGTGCAGTACCGTAAGAAATTACAGAAGTGTGCAGGGTGGTTCATTCGTCCTGCGGCGCATTCGCTGATCTATCCCACAGATGTTCGAACAAGTCAATCCCACAGATGTTCGATAAACTCCATCCCACAGATATTCAATTGGTGACAAATTCAGTGAACGGGCATGCCAATGAAATCTGTGGACGTTGTGTCGCTGGAGAAACTCCTGACGAACATGAAACATGTGGTTTGGTGTTGTCATGCAGGGACAGTCTTCTGTTCATATGTGGAATGACTTAGTGTTGCAGGATCACGTCTCGATGTCTGATGTTTGTCAGCGCACCTGCCACAAGCGCAAGAGCCATCCTGCCACTCTGCCCGCACCATCACACTGCCACAACCTAAACGATTATCTTTGTATTTCGAGCATAACGTTCCCCTCAACGTCTATAGACTTCAGCACGTGGCAGGAGAAAACGAGATTCATCTGGCGCATGCCCATGTCACCCTCTGCTAATGCCAAGTGCATTAAAGATTGTTTTGTTCAAAACAACGAGCGATCATTTTTATTCTAAAAGATGTTGAAACATTTATTCCCGGACCAGTGAGAATCTGCGTGGACATGGTGTCCCATGGCCATCTCAGTATAAAGAGTACAATCAGAAATGAGGTGAACGCACACAGTTCGCTAGTCCACACATGCATTCAAGCATCATTAATTAACCGGACCCCAGAGACCGTTCAAAATGCTGTTTAGGCGAACCATGAGTTGTGATTGCATGCCGATGTGATTTGTCTTGTGACCTCCTGAAACGCAACATTTAAACAGGAAAAGCGGATTTCATTGTAAGTTACAGAATGTGTCCTCAATTTGCTTGTTGCTTGTGGCTCCACGTATGATTAATCTGCGGAACACTGACCTTTCCACAAGAAGTAAGAACGCTATTTTCATGTTTTATGAGCAGGTCATGGGGTTTGAAGATGGGACTTGAGCCAGGCAAGCCCTGTGAACATGTATGACATCTTAGAGCGGTACTTTCAGTGTGGTTATGTACAACGAAAGTGACCATTCGCCAGAACCTGATTACATACGAAGTCTAGAAATGCCATGTTTTTTTCACTTTTAATTGTCATGTTAACAGTAAATGTAAAGATAACTGACCTGACGTGAATATTTCTTCCATTATGTACATCGTATGTGATAGCGTTCCATCATAGTGATATCATGTTTCATGAACGTTTGGAACATTGTCCCGAGGAAAGTTTGATTTGTTATTTTGATAGAAGATTCGTGGGTGTTGATAGTTGATGCCCAGAAACTGTTAGTCACACATAACGTGTTCACTTCTAAAACACATGCAAGGATACAGTGCAGTACACAAATCAACCAGGACGAGACAGTGAAGTTCAGTACACATGTCAGGTCATAACGGTGATTTCGTTGATGAAATTGGCACTCTGACTTTCTAGAAGACATATATACTACCCATCAAAAGTTTAGACTCTCTAGTGTAAATGTAGCCACTTACTTTAGTCAACTGTTCTAAACTACATTTTGCTAAATATTCCATACTGTTTAAAGGTACGGTTTACACATAAACTGAGGTATTGTAAAACAAATTCGTAACGTTGAAAAAAATATTTTCATGAGTTCATTAAATCATGAAACTCAGTGAAAAATGGCGAATTCTTAACAAAACGTTACCCCTAAACGCAGCTGTTAACATGCACGATATGTGCACATGCATTTCAGAAAAATGATGCACGATCCTTGTGCAATTCATCTGCATAAGGTTTGCAGATGGTTCCCCTAACTTAGAGGAGAAATTTATCTTCGATGTAACCGTATATACATACATAACATATAGTGAGTGCTTTAAGTGAGTCTAAACTTTTGATGGGTAGTATATAATGTACGTCTTCAAGCGTATTTACCTTCCTATCACATAAAGTAGTAGCTTCATTGCTCTGGCCACGTCGTTAGGACATGTCCTTCAAGTTAAAGGACATAGTCGTCGCTTTCACCTTGCGTCAAGCACCTCACATATTTACACGTCTGTGTTATGTCAGCGATTGGCCGTGTGATGATGTCTTAGCGGCCATATTTTGTTTACCTCTGACTTAGTTCAACTTGATCCTCGGCGAGGAGAGAGGAAGTATTATCACCTGGATGTTGGAGAAAGACATGCAGCAATTTGACAGTGGAGAAGATCGTAGAACATGAAGAATCCCACGTTACATCTATTTACCACATCTCCATGTGTTTGGCTAAACACTGTCAGTATTTACCTTGCTTGACGATGTGACATATAAAATGTTTTACGTCTCACTCGCAACTGCACAGAACATAGCTATGTTGTGTACACAATTCACTCAATCTTCCTTGTTACCGATCGTCACACGATTTATAAGAGATTATTTGAACCACTCATGAACAAGTAAATAGTAAACAAAGATAAATGTTAAAATATCTTTCTAATGATAACCATGATATATTGCAACATGGGCTAGCTTGCAGTAAGCCGGTATACTGAAATATTGTACTGTCTTCTATCAGGTTAATGTTGGACAACATACTAACTTGAGCAGAGAGACCAGCTAAGATACAATTTCTATGAGGCGTGGTGTAGATGGACGATCCAGTTTCGATGCAGTTCGCAAATCAATTTGATTAAAGTGGAAAGCGTGTGCGTGCGTGCGTGCGTGTGTGTGCGGTGGTGGGGGGGGGATAAAATTGCGTGCTTATGTACACGAGTTGAGGTTTACATTATCTCTAAACTCCAAATATCTATAACCGATATTCAAACTTTAAAACATGCTATGTGCAGTTTAGTAAAAGGAACAGCATGTGTACGTTGATACCTCGCCCTTGAAACACTATGTTACAAAGACAAAACCTAATGTAGTTTCTCGGCCTCATATGCACAGCTGTATGTAGTGGAATGTGTTTCAGGTATAGGACATACAATCCTTGAGTTCGAGGCTATACAGATACATACAATACACACTGTTAAGCTTATTACCATGCCAACGAGCTGAACGTGTTACCAGGAAACAAGCAATAGCTTACACTAATCGCCACTTCTCTCTAGTACTTGCGTTTTAAGTGTCTTTGTGCCGGGACTCGTGTCTTACACTTAACCAGAATGCCAGGATTACCGTTGTACGAAATGCTTCTAGAAATACGGATGTCATGGCAACCAACATTAGTTTTGTTGCAGGAATAATGACGATCAGTATCAGTGACAACTGTTAAAATATCATTCCTTTATAACGCAATTATGGTGCCTAACCAGTTCCGATAAGGAACCTTATTTCTTTCCAACTACAATATATTATGATTACACAGCGCCTTTTAGAAAGTGGTCAAATGTAAAATATGTTGTATTTGGGATTACACTTTCTTAGTAAACAAAAATACTGGAATCTGTACTTTACTGAGAAAGTGTAATACCAAATATAACATGTTACAATATATTGATGCTGATGCGGCACCTTTCATAACTAACTGTATAGTTGTTTCTAGAAACAATGTGATGAGGTACATTAGTGACATGCGAGAAGTGCTAGTAGTGTTCCAGTTTAAATGTAACGCCAACAAACGGGATTTTGCTAAACAAATAGGTAGGTTAAGTTATTTGATTTGTTGCCAAAAGCAGCTCCATATTTCATCAGTTTGTTTCTTTTATTTGAAATCCGGAAACAACACCTGAATCAAACTGTTGAGATGAATACGGGTCAACATCTCTGCTGTTACAGATGTAGAGGAATGTCCGCTGTTTCTAGACCCTGTCAAATATTATCAGCTACATTACACCCACTTTCAATACTGAAATGGTGTCACTGTTTACTAACACTTAGGCTTCATCAATGTACTATCACAAACTTACGTAATTCAACGGGACAGGAGTAATCGACACCTTTGTAGCTCTTTACTCGAGTGGACATGAAATTGTTGGTTTCCGGTTAATTCCAAAAGTAATTTATTTCGAGTTGATGACGGAACGCAAACTATTGAAACGTGTAATTGGAGACTAATGCTTGCCACCCGCTAACAAAAACATGTGGGAAACCGGGTTAGATTGTTTCTGCCTTCTTTGCTTTGCTGAATGTTGGCAAAGCTGGTAAATTGCTTTTCAGATTCACCGTGTTTATCCGTATTCACGTGTATTAAGCTTTGTAAGTTCGGGAATAGTACAACTTTCTGAATGTTTGTTTTCAAAATAAAACCCCGAAACCCGAGATGACCTCTACAAAAGACCTCAGTCTGGAGCTGTGCGGTGCTCGTGGCATGACGTAAGGCAAATTACATGGACAGCTTAATCGACAGTGGTTATTTTGGAGTGTCACTTTTCATAGACCCTAAGTCGCTGATCTGTTTATTTCTCCACAGTGCATTAAACTAAGAAAATATATCCCTGGATCGATATCGGCGTGGATACTTCCTGGTAAATTGAAAAAAGGGTATCATATACAGCACATTCCTCCCAATCCATGCTCCCATGCTTTCAGCAGAAATCTGTGTATAATCGCATGGCGTAAATGTGCATTCTTCTTTTGGCCTTAATCCAGTCCTGTTATTACCAATAAGTCGTCTGTGTGTGTCCCTATGCAAAACTATGTTCAAGAAAGCTGACCTGCATCCCAGTCTTACGTAAGTTGTGTGGGTCTTTTATAACATGTTTCACTGGAGGATAGTTGTAATTTGATGAAGACATACCACATACAGACAGCAAATGCTGTAAAGACATACTGATGATAAAGATCTATGGCTCAAAGCATCTACAAGGATAAGTGATAGGTGTATCCGTAATTCAGGTAGCCGGTAGTTTGGACGGAACTGATATGAATGTATCATGTCCAGGTATGAGCAAGTGTTAGGTGTATGTATGGTTCCATCCCGAGGGGTGGTGTGTCTTCCTCCACTTCCCGGGTGTTTTATCTTCCTTGCTTAATGGAACATACTTGTATCATTTTCATGTCCCATTTTCATTCATAACACAGACAAAACATTCCTCATAAAGACTTTATTTCTTTGAGTCTTTAATATTATATACATTGTATACAAACACATGACATGCACATAGGGCACGTGGCCAGTAAGTAGTGTGTTGCTCTCTCCAGAATCCAGTCGCTAGTGATACTGGTGAGAATATAAGGTAGCGCGACGACAGCATAATCTTTCGGGTTTGGTTCATATACCAGAAAATAATTAACGCCACTGAAGTTATATTCTCAACAATCTCCTCAAAGAACTGGCGTTACACAAATATAAACAAAATTCATCAACAACATACATTTATAGTCAATAAGTCCACTCTCGGCTGGATTAAACATGCGGGTCATACGGACTCTTGTACTGGATATGGGTTAAACGAGACAGTTGATGTAACCGTGTAGGTCTGTAGCAGTTACTGAAACATCCCACACCCACAGAAGTCACACGTCCACATATCTTTATAACACAGTACTCAGGTCCATAGTATATTAATACACTACACATGTATACAGATCTGTCGTTGGTTTGTCGTTTCTGAGCACCTTTCATTGTCAAGGGGAAATAATCAATACATTAATTGGCACCATTTGAAATTGTTTGATTCACATGTAGGACACTTTGTTCACATTTATCATTTATTTGGCATGCATGCATGTGTGATGTTTCAGCTCACAACATCAGCACACATACGTGCTTTCACAAATACAAGATGACATTATGGCAATATTTGGCAGTGTGGGAATACTATCTTAATATATTACACTATTATATCCTTCCCGAGAATTCTCTCCTCGAGTGAATCGTCCTGGTTTAGTGTGTAACTTCCGGACGTAGTGGTACTGCCGTCGTCATCATGAGACACATTGGAAGACTGTCTGTGGTATGATAATGGCCTTGAATAGTTGTTGGGTCTGTCCTGGAAAGTATTGTGGCCTTGACGCAATGAATAGTCACGTGACGTGTCTCTGGGACCCTGGTTTCGGGAGAAATCACGTCCTTCCTGAAAACTGTTCGTGTGTAAAAACCTGACTTGATTGTGTCTGGGATTCTGGAAGTCGGGGCCCTGTTTCGTCGCCAAGGGGCAGTACTGGTCGAACGAATGACTTTCCTGATGAGGTGCGCCCCACCGTCGGAGATTCATTTCTAAAATTACAAAGACATATGTTAGTATTATCTTCACCTTAAACATAAACTATTCAGTCTCACACACCGAACCAAAAGGCATCAACTTGATGAATGTAACGGAGCAGCATTTATGTCAGTCTATTTGGAGCAACCTATTTCGTACTAAATGCAGTTTTAAGTTTCCGTATAGTTTCCCATGACAGGAAACAAAAGGGATGTGCACTTCCTGAAGCTGTTTCTGCTTGACCTGCGTTTTGCCAGGACACATTATATCACTGGCCAAGCCACGCTGGACTTTACAAAAGGCTGTCCAGCGTTTAGCCAGAATGCATCATATCTCTGGCCAAACGACCCTGGGCACAACAAAAGGCTGTCAAGGTCATCTCATTAAGTCTTCAATGATCACAAGGTCGGCGGCTTCAGCCCAGAATATCCTCACCTTCGCGAGGGTGGTCTAGCAGTTACTAGACTAACAACTAGTCTCTGAAATGAACATATTTTACTGAAAAAGTTCATAGTAAAAAAATTATATAACGAAAAGGAGCCGTGAGACTTTCTTCATTTTCAGAGCTGAGGAAATCTAGACTTGCCACATTTTCTAGACTTGCGATGGCTTACTTGATATGTTTGCTTCGGGGTCTGTATGAGAGGCTAAGTAGTTACTTACGCTTGTTTTAACTGTGGACATGATTTAATAGCATATGCAACGAGACTAAATCTGCTGAGACTGATGCCGACAGGAATGCTTTATAATATTTTATCAAACACACCAGTCATGTTTCCACACTTTATAAATTTGAAGAGAAAATATTATATATTAAGCACAGCAAATACTAAATCGCTTCATTTCTGTTTACTATGTACCCATTTTAGTACTGAACTGCAAGAAGGTCCGAACTTATTCCAAATAACCACCCCTATCATTCGTGCACAGGGACATTTAATCCACCACACACCACACAAATCAGCTCTAATTACTGGGTTAGATGACAGTATCACCAAAGAAATGCTACTCCCATAAATAGGAGTCACCGAGAAGAGTGGGATAACATCAGCTGCGGCTGAGCCTTTCCCTAAGCCTAAAGCCCTCTATTGTTGGATATACCAACATGTGTTGTCTGGTCCAGCTTTTCAATAAACAGGCCAAAAGTGAAGAAAAGCAGAAACATTTCAGTTTATGGTCTGTAATTACTATAACGATATAGCACATTAAGCATATGCCGCGTTCCAATCATTTATTTCAAATACAAAAGGAAAGCTCAGCAGTTGATCCTATCAGCACGTGTGTCACAGAGATGATACACAAACGCAGTGTTCCTGTTATTGTAGATCAGTTGAGGATTAAAGCTCTGAAAGACTGAGCCAGTATTCCGTTGCTAACACAGTGTTGATGGTCAGCAATGAAACTGACACCTGGAAAAATGATTTTCTAATCCTGAAAATGTCTCAAGATCATCACCAACATAAAGAGACACCCGTTCTTATTTCAGACTGCATGTATTCAAGGAGCTTACTCTTATCTGGCTGGATGTTCACTTCCTCCTCGCTGCCGCCTCTGCCGCTGTCGCTGGGAATTGTTTCGCCGGAGGTGTCGCTGTGAACGTCATCCAGCTGAAATTCATGAATTCTTCATTAGTAACTCTTGTTCTAAATGTCAATAAGTCAAGGAAATAGAGTATAACGATTCAAATTCCAAGCTAACCAAGCACCACAGTTGAGTAATGACATGGATAAACATGCAAGAACTCCATGGTATTGTGGATGTGAACGAACAAAGGAGAAAGAACCATGATGTACATTAATAGCACAGGAGACATTATATCAGGGGCCAGTGAGATTAATGATTGCTATGTGATGAGAGGGTAAACAACAAACTATCACAATAGGAAACAAAGACGAACAGTAAACCTTTGCAAAAAGATTCATTGTCAATTATTGTGTTTGTTACTCGTTGCACAGCCCTTTGCAGAGTTGATGTATGGTATCTGATATTTATACCGTATAAGCTTTGTACCGTCGGCCTCTCTACCTGTATAGAACTATTGTACAGTGTCGATGCTACTTACTGGGAGTATTTTTTCCGCTTCGTCCATGAATGTCAATCTGGCGTTGTTGAAGATGATGTCTCTGGGTTTGGAGACAAGGCTGTCATCAATGCTGAAGCTAACTTCCTTCTTCTTGAAGGACTGGTCTGCATGCTTGACTTGTTTCTGTTGAACGTTATGGACTCCACCGAACGGGGGTATCTGCCCACTGTCGACCGTGTCCCCTGTCGATAGCTGCGCAACCTCAGTTTGATCTGTCGCGGGGATTTTTACAGACGCAACATGGCCGTTGAATTTGGAAGCGTTCGTTGATAATGATGGTGATTTCCGTCTGTCAGTCCTGAGCACAAAGCAGATGGCAGCAATGATGATGATAGACAGGATAATTGTTGCCGCGGCAACAACAGCAGCGATGATGACATACTTGTCACTTTTAGTGTGCACTGGTGTGAGTGTATTGGTGTCGTTGTCAAACTGCACGTCAATAATCAGGTGAGTTTCAGCCTTCAGTTGAGGAGTTCCTGAATCGTGCACAGTTATTGTCAGATCGTATACCATGTCGTTCTGCAGCTTCCAAATGTTTGCAACCTTAGTCTCACCAGTGTCCCTGTCTATGGAGAAAGCACCATCGTCGTTGCCGTTTGATATCACAAAATGTAGAGTGGAGTTTTCGCCAAAGTCGGAGTCGTATGCAACAATCTTGCCAATTACGGAGTCTCTTTCTGGGGGCCTTGAAATGAAGACCGTGTGATTGACAGTCGTAGGGAAAAGAATTGTTGGGACGTTGTCATTCACATCAAGCACTGTAATGGACACTTCTGAAGAGTTCGTCTTGGGGGAGAGCCTTTGTCTCGTGCTAACACTGTGAAGATGTATCTGCTCTTTAATTCTCTATCCAAGGACTCTTCAGCAATCACAGTTCCATTAGAAAATACTTTAAAAGGTATCATACCATCTGGAGACTCTGCTATGAAGTACTCAATTTCACCATTAAGGCCGGCATCGAGGTCAGTAGCGGTGATATTTCCTACGATAACGTTAGCGTCCATGTTCTCTACCACGCGGAACTGAAACAACTGGTGAGTAAAGGCGGGGAATTCGTCGTTGATGTCGCTGATGTGCAGCGTCACTTCGGTCGTGCCTGTCCTGGCTACCATACCCTGATCAATGGCGAGGACATGGAACTTTATCACAGGTGTCACCTCTCTGTCAAATCTCCTGTTAGTTGTAATGATGCCGGAATCATATTGGATTCTGAATGATGGTTTTTGTGTATCTTCTACGACGAAATATCTCAGACGGGAATTGTCCCCACGGTCAGCGTCATAGGCCGACACAGTCAATACGGAATATCCAATCGGACTGTTTTCCGGGATAGACACGTTGTACTGTCTTCGCTGGAACTGTGGAGTGTTGTCATTGACGTCTGTAACATACATCTGGAACACGGCAGACCCGAACAGTGGAGGGTTCCCTCTATCCTGGCACATGACACTCATGTTGTACGAATACCTGGATTCACGATCTAGAATAGTGTTGACTAGTACTTTGTATCCCTTCCTGCCAGACAGAGGCTCAAGAGAAAATGCAGCGCTGGAAATGTTACAAACGACGTCCCCGTTCTCACCAGTGTCTGAGTCCTCTACCTCTACATATGCCACAAAGAAACCCACCCCTGCAGCCTCCGAAACAGTGTTTCCCGTCGTTAGGGTGTTGATCCTCACATAGGGAGGGTTGTTCCCCGAGTCCAGCACTGTCACAGTGACAACAGTCTGTGTCATCAAGGAACGGTCTCCTCTGTCCAGAGCCTCCACGATCAAGTGATACGGTGTGTCTGGTTCATACTCAAGTTTACCGGCAACTCTAATTACTCCCGTCGTTGAGTCTATAGAGAACAGAGACTGCAACTTGGCTGACTGCAGATTGCTGAACTGGTATCTCACTTCGCTATTGGTACCCAAATCCGGATCAGTCGCTGACACTACCATGACCGTTGCGTTGATGGCGACGTCTTCCTTCACCATGACGTCGTAAGACGAGTTTTGAAATCGTGGAGGGTTGTCGTTTTCGTCGATAACGTTGATTCTTACCGCGAGAGTCCCTGTTTTCGGGGGCGAACCACCGTCAGATGCAACGATGTTGAAAAAGTACTGATCTTTAAGCTCGCGGTCAAGCGACTTTCCCAGGAGAAGATTTATCACCGAGCTCCCATCGAGGTTCTTTGTCGTGGTCAGTGAAAACATGTTTTCTTGTTGCGACAACTCATATCTCTGAATGGTGTTATTAAATTGCGAGTCTCTGTCTACGGCACCGCTTATTTTTAACACTGTACCGACGCTAGCTAATTCTGAAACGTCTAGTGTCACCTCTGTTGCGGGGAACGTTGGAGCGTTGTCGTTGATGTCCTCCACGTAGACGAAGACGGTGGCGATATTGGAGAAAACGGGAGAGTGAACAGCGACATCAAACTCAACGCGACAAGCGTCGGTGAAGTCGCATAGAGTTTCACGGTCGATACGACCTTGACTGTATATTTTTCCAGAATCAGGGTCGATGCGAAACAGTTTACTGGGATGACTGTCTTTGTTTAAAATCCCAAACTTTAAAGTTTCTTTCTCCGCCTGTGAAAGGTTCTTGAACATAGCACTACTATCTGACACGTTCCCTACGTAAGTATCAAGGTTGATTTCTTCCGGTATTCTTAAGCTCAGGTCTGGTGTTTGTCCAAGACAGTGTCCACACAGGAATGTCAGCAAGGTGATGACACCGACCCTCTGCATGATGGCGGTCTGTGATGACACAGGGATCGTCTCCTTCACGTCAAGCATCCATCACAGCACGGCGTCCCAAAACAAAGTTGCTTCTGAAAATGTAATGAAAGATTAAGTTTATGTTCATACAGAATGTTAATGCAAAGAAACTATCTGTTTAAATAGAACTTTACCCGGTGTTTTTCATTCCGCTAGAAATAAAAATGTATTTTAAAGCATCTAGCAATCACGTTCGTATCACGTTTTATTGAGTATACGCATAATTGTAAAAGAAATACAACGAAATCATCTTTATGCCCTCTAATAATGTAGGCAGTTACGCACTGTGTGTATAATATTTTTGACATAATTATATCACAGTAACTCATACATGACATAATATCATAAAATGCGCACGCACACACACACACACCATTCCAAAATAGAAAAACGAAACTTTGTTGATCAGTCAGTGGTTTGATTGCTTGATCAACAAGCCGCGGGGAAGCTTGTAACCATGTACAGTAATTTACTGGCTATCAGCGTGCTGGGCTATCTGTTCTGTACGTTAAGCCGGCGTGGACACTGTTAGTGGGTAAGATATTGTTATAAAGTATACATACGATTGTATCTACTGGCAAGAATATATAACCTTACTGTGGGTGTATCGATTGCTCGAGATAAGGAGTAGCGCGTTTCCAAAAAGACACTGTGCCACGAACGAGTCTACCGCGGATAATCAGAGATCACATCGACACTTCATGCTTGGCTCCCGATCTCCACATAACATTCGTGTCCATTATCAGCCTATACACAGAGTGAAGATCTGCATGAACGATACAACCTATACCAATGTCCAACATGAATTAAACAACATAAAAGACTAACCTAACGACCAGCCTCGGTCATCAAAGACAGATTTCTGATCAGAGACAGGCAACCACAATGGGGATAATCAAACGTAAAAATGGCATTCGTATAACGAATGTCGTGTTTAGCTGCACAGTAGGGGCGAGCGGAGCGATGTCAGAGGGATACACTGCCTCGTTATTTGGCGACATTCGGGTCGTGATCTTGGCCGTAAAAGTTGGTGGAAACATTAACGACTTGCACAGTGCGATAGAGAGAGAATGTGCTATTGAGAGCACCTCAGTCAAGTGATGTAGAACTAAATGGACCATGTAGGTGAGAGCTACTAAAGCAGCTAATAAATAGTAACGACCAACAGTAAGGATCCATAGGAGAAATCAGACAGAAAAAGAGATCAGCGTTATGAAAATTGTTGACAATGAAACTTGGTTGTTCATATGGCATTGTGGTGATATTAAAATACTCCCATATATAAGCATGAAAAGAAGCATATTAATGCACGTGAAATGTGTGGACTGTGAAAACGGTTTACGTGTGCGTCAGCTCAAGCGGCATCCTTCCGACACATCAAACAATGAACGCTCCATCGCCGATCAGCAGATATAGGAGGAAAATGTGAGGTTACTTTTTAGACATTGTATACAAATTCTGTGGCAGAGGAACAGATGTGAGCAAAGAAACTTTCGTGACCAGATGTTTGGTTTCCAATACACCCATAAGTGAGATGAGAGAAGGAAACTTCTTAGCCTTGCTCCAAGGCTGTACTGAATGCTGAGGCCATGGATGTATTTTACATGTAATTCTATCCTTCGAAGAAACATGTCTAGAAAAGCGGTCTAAGAACTCCAGTGTGCTACTTATTATTTTTTAGAAAGTATCATTTAAGCTATTATTTTATACCTTAGAGATTTGTGCAAGTCTAGAAACTTCTGCACATGAGTATTTGTATTACTAGAGACGGTATACTTCGGTTACTGTAACATTCAACGTAAAGATTATTCATTAGAACTAGTGTGGCACATTGGCACGAAAACAAATACTAATTAATTAAGTTGACTAAGCCGATAAAACCCTTCATTAAGAGAGAAATTATACGAATGTCGCAAGAAGCAGGTCCACTTTCTTTTAATTATAATCACCAGCAGGGAATAATCACAGTAATATGTTACTAGAATGTAGAAACGAAAATCGGGAAAAACAAATCACGTAAAAACATAACTTCTGCAACTGCCAACAATAACACATCCTATGAAATAACGTGTTTAAAATACGGCGTTGACTACTCACATCGACTGACCAAGGCACAAGGTATATCCACTGATGTTCTGACAGACGGGGATGTAGTGTGACAATGAACCTGTATCCCGGCTTCCCCAGCTAGCCACTTGTCATGTACACTGAGACAGGGGAGATAATAAATACACGACCACTCCAGATGACACGGAGTACGTCACTGTCCTGATGGCCTGGGACCAGGGAGGATATGTCACTCTAGGAGAACAAGCCCTACATACATCAATATAAATGTCATATTGTTTCACGGAAAAATAATAGCTTCAGGAAAAATGGAACGATGGGTAGTCATCAGCCGTATAGAGAATGAGTAATCGGGATTTGTGGGTGAGTGTTCTCTAGCCAGGGGACATACACCAGTTTTAACAATAGATACAGCCAACAGTAAAGGCACTGTTCTCTCAAACCAAGGATTAGTAGAATTTCTTGGTTGCTATCATGTTGATCGTCACTGTGATATAATGGGTTGATCAGGAGGTCGGTGGTACAATGTTAGACCAGGTCAAATCAAAAGATGATGTGCTACTTCTTTATATAAGGACAAATTTTATGGATGAACAACGATACAAGAACCTGTATCGACACGTCGCATCACCCGAGTATAGAAGTTGTTCATCCATCAAGTTTGTCCTTGTCTGATTCACCAACTTCTAAACATATCACTCAAAGAAGTGCTACTTCTTGTCACCTTCCTTGGTACTCGACAATAAGGAGATGCATGAATGGGTGAAACGATGATCTGCTCAAGTTATAGTGTGTACCATCCGAATCATACTTAATAATATATAAGCATTATAAAACAGGCATTAATCCGGACTTGTAGCTACCAACGTGCTGTTGTCCTTGGTTCTGGAAAACACGCCGCAGTAAGACAAGTTCAATACCAAACGACACACATACACGCAGGAACCGACAAAGTCAAGCTTTTAAAGACGGTGTACTTGCCAAATCCTACTTCAAGAAAGTCTCAGAATCACGGCTGTTCACCACACGCATGTTTTGTTTTGTTTTTTATTTGGCTGTATTTTGGTTATATCAGTGAACATTAATTGCCATGTGTGATGCAGACTGATTCACAATACACTGTCCACGTGACATGTGTGATTCAGTCATCAACATCGCCTACCAGCCATCTACAAGATTTATAGCTGGAGTAACATCTGACAGCCGTCAGTCAACGCGTCACCGCGGTACACTGACATGGGGCGTCGGGGAACCGTGTGACGTCATCACAGCTACAATAAGCTTATCGTCACACCTTTACATAAATTAAAATTATATAATTCATTATTTTGTTTATCAATTAATTACAAATAACAAAAATGTGTCTGATTATGAGAACATAAAAATATTTTGGTGAAGTTTACAATGTGTGACGGCAACTGACATGTTAATCCTACATAAATCCAATATAAAAATGTCACAGCAACTTATGTTTCACTGATTGTGCATCTCTTCCCAACAATAAAATACAGAGTCCTCTGAATGTTTCTTTACGCGTCCAACAAAGCATTGTTCAAATATATTACGTGTAATAGCCCAATAAAACCAATAGCTGGCTGAGGGATTAACATATCGACATACTGCTGTTTTCAATGACCTAACAGAACCAATTGTCCTCAATATCTATATCAAAGTCCTCATTATCTACGGGTGGGGTCCGCCGCTGCCACGAGGGGTGAGTTGATTGATCATCTCGTCGTACACCGTGTATGTCTAAAGAACTTTACGTCTCATCGAAATTTAACCGTTATTGAAACATTATCATAACACAGTGCAGTATCATACAGCAAGTCTGTCTCTTCATCATTACATAAGTTAGCTATTGAAACATTATCATAACACCGGTGCAGTATCATACAGCAAGTCTGTCTCTTCATCATTACATAAGTTAGCTATTGAAACATTATCATAACACACAGTATCATACAGTGCAGTATCATACAGCAAGTCTGTCTCTTCATCATTACATAAGTTAGCTATTGAAACATTATCATAACACCAGTGCAGTATCATACAGCAAGTCTGTCTCTTCATCATTACATAAGTTAGCTATTGAAACATTATCATAACACCGGTGCAGTATCATACAGCAAGTCTGTCTCTTCATCATTACATAAGTTAGCTATTGAAACATTATCATAACACCAGTGCAGTATCATACAGCAAGTCTGTCTCTTCATCATTACATAAGTTAGCTATTGAAACATTATCATAACACCGGTGCAGTATCATACAGCAAGTCTGTCTCTTCATCATTACATAAGTTAGCTATTGAAACATTATCATAACACCAGTGCAGTATCATACAGCAAGTCTGTCTCTTCATCATTACATAAGTTAGCTATTGAAACATTATCATAACACCAGTGCAGTATCATACAGCAAGTCTGTCTCTTCATCATTACATAAGTTAGCTATTGAAACATTATCATAACACCAGTGCATAAGTTAGTATCATACAGTGGAGTATCATAAGTCTGTCTCTTCATCATTACATAAGTTAGCTATTGAAACATTATCATAACACCAGTGCAGTATCATACAGTAAGTCTGTCTCTTCATCATTACATAAGTCAGCTATTGAAACTGACATGCAGCAACACTTTGAAGTCAGTTCTAGAGTATGTCCGTATGAGGTGAATCATTATACATTAATTTGTCCTGTGTTTTTGCATCTTCACAGTACGTTAATCAAACCAAACTATTGGAATAATAGTAGTCTTTCAATTAACGCAATTTTGACATGATTAGATCTGTGAATGCAATGATGGGCTGTTCACGGTCAATATAAGAGTATCGGTACTGACAATCATGGCGATCAGTTTTACGCCAGTGGTCAGGTGTGATAAATGCATGGTCATATCTAGACATGTCTGTCTCAAATGAGCACGGCTGTATATTCACTTACTGTTGCTAAAAACTCAAAAAAATAAACTGGACATCATTT